GCATCCGCTCTCATTCCTCTCGTTTACATCCGAGAATGAGATCGCCCCGCAAACGACTCCGCACGGGCTTTGCATCGAGCTTCTTAGGATCTGTCACCCTCGAGTAAAAAAGAAACAACTTCCATACAAAGGAAAGTTTATACGAAACTTTCATCGTATAAATCAAACCTACAACGGAAAAACGTTTTCTACAACCACGGGCATACTTGGCATATCAAGCTCGACAAACGTTACTTGGCTATTGTCCGATCACGCTTCAATGCCAAGTTTACACACCGACTCGATCTTTTCGATAGCACGAAAGTGTCGTGGTCTAATCCTCTACCAAATACGACTTTGGTTGTGTGGCTGAACACAACCTTCATGCCAAGCCAATACGTTCAACGGATAATGCAAACTTGTCGAAATCGGCTAAGTTCTGTATTCTCGCGATTCACTCTACTCCCGAAGCAAGTTGCCTACAAAATCCGACGTATAAGAAAACACTCGTACCAGAGCTCCTAAAGCCGTACGAATCTCGGAAGGTCAACACTTCACAAAGCACCGTAACAAAAAATCCTTCGTTTCGGGGAAACAACTTACGCGACCTCTCGGTCCTAATTGCTCTAGAACAAATCATAAAACTACCTAACATCCAAACAGGAATGTTAGTTTTAATTGCGAATATACGCAAACGAACCAAGGTGTTCGTACAAAGCAGGGTTAAGACAAAACCCTCGCAACACCGTGCAACATCTTCGAGCCCGCAAACGTTCCGAACACGAAACGCGGCGTATAAAATAAAAACCAACTTTCGGCACTGCGAGACGTCGCAAACGCCCGGAGATTAGTTTTTCGACATAAATACCTTCCTCGATAAAGTCATTTTCTTGGAAGACCTAACAGTCCGTCCGCGACTATAAAACATACAAAACTTCTTAAGATACGTATCCTTCGCGAAGGTCCAAGAAACGGTAACATGTACCACCTAAGTTTGTTGCTGATCACAACAAACTCGCAACAGTCCTAAACAAACTTAAGTTATCTCACAGAGATAGCTCTCATACACCCGACACAAGGGTAATAGCGCTATAAAGAAATCCAAAATTTTGGTCAGCACCTTCGGGGTGCTCGATTCCAACCAGACGAGTCGTATAAGCCGAGAACCTATCGCGGACTCT